AGAGACAGAGAGAGAAAGAGATGAGAGAGAGAGAGAGAGAGAGAGAGAGGCTGAGCCAGCTGCTGGTTCAGCTGGTTCTGACTTCCCATCCTGGATGGTGAGTGGTGATTCTGCTCTTCAAGCCTCAGCTTCTCATCTGTAAAATGCAGATCACAGCAACCACCTCACTTTCAGTAAGAGAAGGTATAGAAAATGTGAAAGGAAAATGAAAACCCCAATTCACTCTGCCAAAAGTGAACAATTAAGCTGAAAGTTGAGTCATACAAGAAGTTGCCTTTCCTTTGTTCCTAGGCAGAGAGCCACAGATAAAAGGCCACGTATCTCCACGGGGAGCTACTCTGTGTTCACCTCATCTTATGTAAAGTTACAGAGCGTGAGAGGAATACGTAATTGAATACGTAATTTCCCTACCTGCTCTTTTTCTCTTGCAATATGTGGATTTCCAGACCCTCCTTCTTTCCCCTCCAGCCTGCTTTCCCCTTTAAATACTAAAGCCCTCAAAGTCATCTTTAGAGAAAGGCACAGACCTCTCTACTGGGCATGTCCTTAACCTTGGAAAAATAAATGTCTAAACTGATTGAGACCTGTCTCAGACACTTTCCGGTTTACAAAAGCATCAGGAACACAGTAGCTGCTCAATAAACAGTGACACAGTAAACTGCTCCCCATAAGTGTGTGGGCTCCCCTGGGCACTGTGTTTGTCCCTGGATCCCAGGGCAGCGCCTGGGAGGGCCTAGCTGCCTGTGTTTGCTAGATTCATTTTAATTGTAACTAGTTAGAATGGGGAGGACCTCCTGGGGCCTGTTGATGCCCTTCACTAGGAAGGGCTGTGGAAGCTCAGGGGCTGCCTTGCTCACTAGAAGCAGGGAGTTCTCTTCTTCCCCTGGCCACTTCCTTTAAAACAGTTTCTTTTGTCTTAAGTTTTCATTTCTACATTTGTCCCTTCGTTCAGTCCCTTCTTCCTTACGGCTCTTGGCTGGAGGAGGATGGTGTGCCAAGGGCCCCAGGAACAGGCCCTATGCCAGGTCTTTCGGCCACAGCTGGTGGCAGAGGCCTCTCCAGAAAGCATTCTGCCCCAGGACACTCAGCTTTCCCTGCAGACCCAGGCCAGCACCGAGGAAGTGAGTGCAGAAGCTTCCCATGGGGAAATGGCCAGGCCTGGGCTCCTGTGGCCCTGAGAGCTTCAGAGAGGGTTAACTTGGTTTGCCCCTGTGACCTTTCCCCTGACACGTGTTTCTTCTTCTCCACAAACAAGAGGATTCCCAGTCCTTGCCTTCACAACATTTGCCAAGAATTGCAGGCAGGAGGATAATAGCTTCAGTTGAAGAACATGAAGGAATTACCTTCCTAATGCAATACCCCTGCGGAGTGGATACTCACTTTGTGTGTGTGTGTGTGTGTTTTTTTTTTTTTTTAGGCAGAGTCTCGCTCTGTTGCCCAGGCTGGAGTGCAGTGGCATGATCTTGGCTCGCTGCAACCTCCACCTCCTGGGTTCAAGTGATTCTCATGCCTCAGCCTCCCAAGTAACTGGGATTACAGGCACGCACCACCATGCCTGGCTAATTTTTGTATTTTTAGTAGAGATGGGGTTTCACCATGTTGGCCAGGCTGGTCTTGAACTCCTGACCTCAGGTGATCCGCCCGCCTCAGCCTCCTAAAGTGCTGGGATTACAGGCGTGCTTGCCACTGCACCCAGCTGGGTACTTACTTTATACAGCTGTCCTATGGGGTGGGCACTACTATTTATTCCTATTTTACAGATCAAAAAACTAAAGCGCCAAAAGTTAGGATAATGGTTGCTAAAATTTATTTTATTTTATTTTATTTTATTTTGTTGCAGACCACCACAATTACTACTTGAGGCTGTCACTACAACAGTTATTACTGTTACTACCTGAGACCGTCATTACAGCAGTTACTACTGTTACTGCCTGAGACTTCATTACAGGACTGAACAAAGGGACGAACGGACGAACGTAGAAATGAAAACTTAAGACAAAAGAAACTGTTTTAAAGGAAGAGACCAGGGGAAGAAGAAGAGAGCTCCCTGCTTCTAGTGAGCAAAGGCAGCCCCTGAGCGTCCACAGCCCCTCCTATTTATTGGGTAGAATGAGCAGGGAGGAGGAAGTAACGACTGGTCAGCTGCTTGATTGATCACAGGTTCATATTGTTACTAACAGGCTTCAGATGTACCTATTCACAAGAAACACTATGCTTGGGGCTTTCCTGACAGCCCTCAGCATTCCTTCTGGGTGGCAGAAACAGTTTGTCAGTTTGCCAACATTCTGCATTTATGAGAAATAGTTTGCTGCTTACTCATATAGCTTCCAGTGGTATACCGAGTTGATCATGACCCTCAATCTTTCGGCCTCCGTACCTCCAGGCTGGAGTGCAGCGCTACGATCTTGGCTTACTAAACCTCTGTCTCCCCGGTTCAAGCAATTCTCGTGCCTCAGCCTCCTGAGTAGCTGGGATTACAGGTGTGTGCCATCATACCCAGTTAATTTTCGTATTTTTAGTAGAGATGGGGTTTTCATGTGTTGGCCAGGCTGGTCTTGAACTCCTGACCTCAAGTGATCTGCCCGCCTTGCCCTCCCAAATTGCTGGGATTACAGGTGTGAGTCATCATGCCCAGCCCTAAATTTTTTTTGTAAATCACGTAACACTCTCAACAATCCTCTGTGTTGAGTATTGCCATTATCCCCATTTTAAAGAAGGGGAAACTGAGGCACAAGGAGGTTAAGTACTTTGCCTAAGATGACAGTGCTAGGAAATAGCAGAGCCAGGACGCACACCTGGGCGGGTTGGCCGAGGCCACTTACTCCCCCACTGCACAGCAGCGGCTCAGCTGTGAGGTCATAGGCCTGAGTCCCAGCTCCACAACTCCAGGACAGCTTGTTAATCACTCTGGGTCTCAGTTTACTCATCTCTAAGCAGGGAGTATTAGTGGCACTTTCCTTTAGGAATGTCCCAAGGATGACGTGCAACGGTGGGGACAGAGCACTTGGCAGAGACAGCCTTATGTGTGGGAGTCCCTCAGTGCCCATTCCTCGTTCTTGTCCATGTTCTCCCTGTTTGGGGGGACGTTATCAGAATTTCGCCTGGAAATGTGTTTAGGGTTTACCCTCGCAGAACCAGACCCATGGAAATTCTCAGTCTATGAGAGACCCCAACAGCCATTCTGGAGAGTCAGATAAACTCAGGTTGGACTAAAATCCCACCCCAGCTGTAGACCAGCTTTTAGACAGCTCACTTTCCCGGGTGTTTCCTCCTGCCTGAGCTGGAGTTAGTTAGATTTGCCATGCAGGGGCTCTGTGAAGGTTACATGGCTCAAATTCAGCCTGTGATTCTCAAACTAAGGTTTCTGGAGTGGCTGATACCGGAGATGAGTGTTGGGGGCTGGGCAGCACGGGCCTCTGTGGCCAGCAACTCTACCTGGGGTGGGTAATTTACAAACACTGTGTCTGGGAGTTGCTCTCATTCTCAGAGCCCTCCCTACCCTTAATTGTCCTGCATCTCCAAGGCTCCCCTTTCTTCCAACTTCCCAGCAGGTTTGACTCATGGGAAGCATAACCGGAAACAGGGGGATAGCAGCAGGCAGAAGCGGGGGCACATCTCTCCACTTCTGTCTACTTTTTGTTAGGTCTACAAGGCTGCGTCTCCTTAGCGGCTGCAGCTCCCAGCAGACAGCCTTGCCGGGTCCCCATCTTCTGCCTGCTGGTGCCAGCTCTGGGCTCTGCCCTCCCTCTGCCCCTCCACCCCGAGGGCTGGTGTTGAGTTTCTCCTCTTGCAGCACACGGTCCCCTACTTGGCCTCTCAGGTGGGTAACTAAGTCTTCTCATTAAATTCCTTTTATTTTATTATGTTGAGTGAAAGATGTCATTCATTATAGAGTACCTACTCTATGGTTGTATTAATGCAAAGTTCAAGAACAGGAAAGCTCATCTATAGTGGTAGAAATCAGAACAGTCATTGCCTTGGGGAGCAGAGAGATAACTGGGAAGGAGCCAGAGGGAACTCCCTGAGATGATGCAAATGTTTTATACCTTGATTGAGGAGTTGGTTACATGAGCGTGTATGATTATGAAGACTCGTTAAACCATATGCTTAAAACCTGTATATTTAACTGTGCGTAGATTATACCTTAATAAAATTAGTTCAATAAGAAGAAATCCCTGTTTAAATACCAAGAGTGCTTTCTAATTTCCTGCTTGGATCCTAATGGAAATACAGTTTTACTTTTTAAACAAACACAGGTAGACCATGGAGGAAGATGTAAAATTTATGTATTTGGTGTTGAGTGTTTTTGTTTTTTTGTTGTTGTTGTTTGTAAACGATAAAACATGAGACTTCAAACAATTTCACCCTTGGGTTAGTTGATTTCAGGCTATGCTCCCCAGTCCCTAGGAGGCAGCCTTCATTCTCCCTGCTCTTCTCTGGTCGAAAACGCTGGGAAGCACCGGTCTGTATAAAGTGCTAGTGCCTAGCACATAGTAGGTGCTCAAGAAATGTTAATTATTGACTGGGCGCAGTAGCTCACGCCTGTAATCCCAGCACTTTGGGAGGCCAAGGCGGGCGGATCACTTGAGGTCAGGAGTTCGAGACCAGCCTGACCAACATAGCAAAACCCCCTCTCTACTAAAAATACAAAAAAAAGAGGCCGAGCATGGTGGCGCGCGCCTGTAATCCCAGCTACTCAGGAGTCTTGAGGCAGGAGAATTGCTTGAACCCGGGAGGCTGCAGTGAGTCCAGATCGTGCTATTGTACTCCAGCTCCAGTCTGGGCAACAAGAGCAAAACTCCGTCTCAAAAAAAAAAAAAAAAAAAAAGTTAATGATTATTAATACGAATCGGGTTTCATGGATCACTTGAAGGCCTGTCTTCTGTCTTTCTTTAAGACCGTGTGATTTCACCTTGTGAGGTTCACAGAGAACTCCGCCCCGGATTCTGCCCCAGATAATGGGAGGGCTTTCTCAGAAAACACAGGCCTGACACACAAGATCACGCATAGGCTTGTATTCAGGAACGATTTTACAAAACTCGAGAAAAGGCAGCAGGAGATCCAGAATCTCTGTGTGCCTTCTCTTCATCCTACCCCCAGAAAAATGGCCAGTCCAGCCCAGCACCTGCTGAAGCCTCAATATTAAGGGAACGCTTGTCCCATCTCTTGCCCAGGGGAAGTTGGAGAGAAAGCTCGCCTGTGTGCATGTTTGATATAAGCGGTGTGTGTAGGCAGGGAATGGGCTAGAGGACCCTGGACATCTTGGTCAGCCTCCTAGGCAGTGAGTTAGAGGAAAGGGGACTAGGTCTTGCACCTCCACTGTACCTCGGGGTCCAGGCAGACCAGGCAGGGTGTTAATCGTGTCCTGCATGGTGGACCCAAGCTAAAGTGTTGCCTGCAGCCAAAGGCCTGGGCAGGGGCCATCTTCCATCAGCCCAGGGCCCAGGCACAGGGCCACTTGCTGGGGATGGTGGACACCATGTCCCCATTCCCAGCCCTGCTCTAGAAGGCACTGTTCCGTGGACTGCGACCCCTGGAGGGCGGGCAGGGCCTGGACAGGCACAGGCGGCGCTGGGTCTCCAGTCGGCAGAAGCGGTTCTGGTTGGTCACCCGGGTGGTCATGCCCAGCCCACAAGTGGTTGAGCAGGGTCCCCAGGCTGTGCTCCATTCTGGGCAGGGGACACCAGGGGGCAGGGAAGAGACAAGGCCAGAAAACTGGGGTCCTAGGGGAGAAAGAACAAGAGTTAGCACTGAGCAGCCAGGGCTCAGCAGCTCAGTCAACCCACCCACCAGCGGCCACGGCAATCTTGGTCAAATGGCTCAGCTTTCTGCTTCTCAGTTTCTTCTTATGTAAATTTCCTAACAGTGGATGGCATCGAATAAAATGATGGCCATGAAGTGCCTAGCACAGTGCCTGGTACTTGTAAGATTTCCATAAATATTAGTTATTTGGCAACCAGAGTTTGCTGGTCACGATGGCCCCTCAGTCAACTACAGCTTTCTCATCTCTTTGGACAAACAGCATTTTACAGGCAGAGGGTGCCCAGCCTGTGTGGAGTAGTGCTTTGACCCAGTGGCAAGGATGCTAAAGATTCCAGGATTCTTGTGCCAGGAACCAGATGGCGGGTTTACCACGGTCTAGCTTTTTCTCTGCTCCAAGTCTCCCTCTGTGAATATTTTGGTGTCCTTCCTTCTAGTCTTACACCAGTAGTCCCCAACTAGGGTAATTTTGCCTCCCAGGAAAGGTTCGGCAATATCTGGAGACAGTTTTGGTCATCACATTTGGGCGGATGCTACTGGTATCTGGTGAGTAGAAGCCAGGGATGCTGCTAAGCACCCCGCAGTGCACGGGAAAGCCCCCCCAACAAATAATTACTTGCCCTGATTGTCGTTAGTGGTGAGGTTAAGAAACCCTGACTTCTACCCATATGTGTGGGCTGTGTATGCATGTGTATGTGTAGATATACCTGTATACATGCATAGGGACACACTTAGTTGAGATTAAGTTGGAAATACACCTTCTTATCCTGCTTTTATTCGTAAGGCAAACTTACTCGCGTTTTCCTATGTATTTAAATGGATATATCATATTCCATCACAGGGATAATAACAGCTACCTCTGATACAGTACCGTGTGCCAGGCACTGCTACAGCTGCTTGACTTGAACAAACTCAAGTAGTTCTCACAACGCTATGAAGTGGATGCTCTTATTGTCCCCATTGGACAGCTGGAGAAACTGAGACACAGAGAAGTTAAGCAACTTTCTCAGAGTCACACAGCAAAAAGGGGGTGGCGGGGCTGGTGCGGACACCGTGCACCTGACCCAAAACACTCGACTACCTCTTGTGGGTGGCAGCAGCATTTATGAAACCAATCCTCCTCTTTTCAGTTGCCTTTTTTAAAAAGTCACATTCATGTGATAATAATTTTCAAAAAGCAACACAGCAACAGCAAAAATCTCTAAAATTGAAGATTTATAGTGGGACGGTGGGAGGTAACTGTCTATTCTCCATCTCTAGCCCACCCTCAGCCCACATTCCAGAGCAGCCACCTTGCCTGGTTCAGTTTTGAGTTCCTTTTTTAATAAGCCCAAATAACAATAAATTAATAATATTTTATTAATATGTATCAATATATTATAAAGACAGTAACATTATATATTCTAAGAGCTTAGCTCTATTATATCTCTGAAATGTGAGAATTTGGTTCATGTACCCTAACCTATCTTTCCTCTCTCCAGTCTGTCACCCAGTTTTTATTTTTAATTATTTATGGTTTTAAATTACACATCTCAAAGGCAGTGGCTTTTTGTTTATCGGTTTTAAAGTGGGAGGCCTGGTGACCCTCCACTCCTCTTTCTTTTCTTCTTCTTTTTGAGAGGAAGTTTCATGCTTGTGGGCCAGGCTGGAGTGCAGTGCCGTGATCTGGGCTCACTGCAACCTCTGCCTCCTGGGTTCAAGCGATTCTCCTGCCTCAGCCTCCCAAGTAGCTGGATTACAGATACCGGCCACCATGCTCGGCTAATTTTTGAATTTTTAGTAGAGACGGGGTTTCCCCATGTTAGCCAGGCTGGTTTCGAACTCCCTACCTCACGTGATCCTCCCACCTCAGCCTCCCAAGGTGCTGGGATTACAGAGGCGAAACACCGCGCCCGGCCCTCCGCTCCTCTTTCTTATCTCCCTCCTCAGCCTCTGCCCCTCCCAGCTTCTGATGTGTCCCTGGGTCCTGGTACCCAGGAAGCCCCGCCCCACCTCACCCCCCAGGTGGCCCTTGGCGCCCCCAGGCAGTCCTGCCCTTGACCTGGACCAGCGCTGCGCTCACCTTGGGCTGGAAGGGGCTGGGCCCCCAGCCCCCCTCCTTGGCCGCACACCCACTCTGGGCAGCACTTGCCAAGGACCTCGACCCTTCTGGGGTAGGGGCAGTCCCAGCTGGGCAGCCGCACGTCCTCACTGCACAGCGGCACGCAGGTGAAGCCGCCATCCTCGCAGCGGCAGCGGATGCTGCAGTGGGGCTGGAAGGTCTCCCCCTCCTGATACAGGCGACCGTTCACCTCACAGCTGCCATCGTCCTCTGCCACTGCGGAGGAGAAACCGCACCCCCATCGGTGACCCGCAAAGCGGCACAGCCCTCTCTGCAGAGCTGCCCAGATCCTGCCGCAGGAGGCAGCGGTCTCACAGTAGCTGAGCCCTGCCCAGGGCTCCAGCCCAGGATATGCACCTCTCCCCAGCCCTCCACCAGCCTGCTGGGGCACCCTGCATCCTGGCACAGGGATTGCAAGAAGACAGGACTGGACTGACCCCCCAGCTCTGCCCTTTCTTAGCTGTGGACCTGGGCCAAGTGATTTCACTTCTTCTTGCCTCAGTGTCCTCATTTGCAAGGTGGGATATAATGGTACTTATTTTCCAAGGTGGTAGAGACTACTCGGAATGACAGGTGTAATGATCACAACATAAAGGAGATCTTCCATATGTCCTTGCTTATTATCGTTAGTATAGTTACTATATATTAATAACGTTTAAGTATTCTATGCACACTGAGATTTCATGCAACAAAGTCATTGTCCACTTGTGTTGTAGTCATCACTGTCATGTCAGGGCTTAACTTGCCGGCTGTGTGTCTTTGAGTAAGTTACTTAACTTCTCTGAGTGGCCTGAACAACAGCAATAATGAGCTCGGTAACTGTACCTCCAGGTTCCATGGGATGACATGTCCATACCCTCTAGCACACAGTGCTAGGCATGGCCTAAGTGCTCAGGGAACACTCTTTCAATGAAGCCCTCAAGATATGGATGTTATTGCCGCTTCCTCCACTGGACATGAACTCCTTGAGGGCTGGGGCTGCCAGTGTGCATCTCTGCATCCCTCTGATGGGCTCAGAGCCTAGGTGTAACACACAGCACTGCAGGAAATGCCCCTTGAATGAATAGCTGGCATAAGGCTTGGCACATGAGATACACTGATAAAATAGCCCTACTCCTTATCATTCCAGAGGTATTTACTGTTTCCCTCCTGTGTGCCAACCACTGTGCTCCTAGACAGAAAGAGGACAGTTCCTGCCTCGAGGGACTTACGAGCCTGGGGAGGGGGCACAGGTGTGAGGGCATCATCTCCAAGACAGAATGAAGTAAGAGCGCTGGAGAGGCATGTGAGCCGCTCAGGAAGTGCAGATGAGGAACAGCGTGTATGTGAGACTTTGGTGACCACTGAGCTATGTCTGGGGAAAGGACTCATTAGCAAACAGGTTCTCCCAGATCTTCTGAGAAAACCTTCCAGTAGGTCTATACACACACAGGGGTTTCAGAACCACACATACTCAGGTTCCAACTCTGGCTCCCACTTGTGGGGCCTGGGGCAAGTTATTTTGCCTCTCTGAGCCTTGGTACCTGGCTCACAGGGCTGCTGGGGGATTAGATGAGCTAGGGGACTTATAGCATTTTGCCCCAAGCCTGGCACATAGCAGATGCTCAATATATAGGAGTGGGTTATGCTTCCACATAGCATCTGTTATGTGCCAGGCTTGGGGCAAAATGCTGTAAGTCCCCTGGCTCATCTAATCCTCCAGCAGGAAAGACCTCACTGAGAAATAATGCTGGTAGAGGGAACAGCCAGTGCAAAGGCCCTGAGGCAGGAGTGTGCCTGGGGTATTTAAGGAACAGCAAGGGGCCAATGTGACTGCAGCAGACAGCAGGAGGAGATGAGGTCAGAGAGGAAGCAGGAGCAAGATCCTGTGGGGCCTTGTAGGCCACTGTGGGGACTTTGGCTTTTCCTCTGAGATGGGAAGCCACCAGAAGGCTTGGGGCAGAGGAGGGAGGTGATCTGGCAGGAGCTCTCTGCTGTGTTGTGAATAGACCAGGGGCAAGGAGAGAAGGAGGGAGATGATTATGGGGCTACTGCAAAATCCAGGCCAATGATGACGGGGCTCAGACAAGGGTGGTAGCCACAGAAGGGACGGGAGTGTCGGATGCTGGAAATACCATGATGAATTTGCTGGTGGATGGTATGTGGGAGGTGAGAAAAGAGAGACGTCTAGGCCAGCTGTGGTGGTTCACGCCTGTAATCCCAGCACTTAGGGAGGTTGAGGCGGGTGAATCACTTGAGGTGGGGAGTTCCAGACCAGCCTGGCCAACATGGCAAAAACCCATCTCTACTAAAAATACAAAAATCAGCTGGGCATGGTGGCAGGAGTCTGTAATCTCAGCTACTTGGGAGGCTGAGGCATGAGAATCGCTTGAACGCAAGAGGTGGGGGTTACAGTGAGCCAAGATCATGCCACTGCACACTGGGTGAAAGAGTGAGACTCCATCTCAAAAAGAGAGAGAGAGAGAGAGAGAGAGACATCTAGAATGACTCCAAGGTCTTGAGCCTGAGCCATGAGAAGCATGGAGATGCTTTCAACAGACGGGGGAGACCGATCTGGGGGGCAGGAGATGAGGATCCCGGCATTGGATGTGCTGTTACACGATGGTGAATCTGTAGCACGTCTCGCAGCTCAGAGTTGGCCCTTACAGAAGGGCGTTCAATGAGTGATAGGAGAAGTTTTTGGCAGCGTGTTCCCTGCAAAGCCCCAGACTGAGCCTTTGTGATGTGTTAGCTGGACTCTTTGGGGTTCACCAGTTCCCGGTGAACTTTAAATCAGTTTAAATCATTAAGCACTCATGAGCACCCACCATGTTGACAGACTAAGGTGGGGAGTTGCAGGAAGGACCAGGGACCCAAGTACACTTTGGCCTGCGGTGTTTGAAGTCTGAATTAAGATGAAATACGAAAAATCCCTTAATACACTTATCGAAAATCACAGCCTATGTACTATTCAACAGCTGCGTGTCAGGCAGTTGAGCAATGGAGTTTGTGGAGTCAGCTCCCTGAGTTCAAATCTCAGCTCTGCTAGTTATGAGCTTTGTGACCTTGGGCAAGTTGCCTAGCTTCTCTATACCTCTTTTTTCCATTTATAACAGAAGGGTGGGCCAGGCGCGGTGGCTCACACCTATAATCCCAGCACTTTGGGAGGCCGAGGCAGGCAGATTACCTGAGGTTAGGAGTTTGAAACCAGCCTGACCAACATGGAGAAACCCTGTCTCTACTAAAAATACAAAATTAGCCGGGCTTGGTGGCACATGCCTGTAATCCCAGCTACTAGGGAGGCTGAGGCAGGAGAATCGCTTGAACCTGGGAGGCGGAGGTTGCGGTGAGCGGAGATCTTGCCACAGCACTCCAGCCTGGGCAACAAGAGCGAAACCCCGTCTCAGGAAAAAAAAAAAAAAGAGAGAGAGAAGGGTGACATTAGTACCTACCTCATGTGGTTGTGAGATTAAATGAGTTTATATTTGCGAAACCCTCAGTGTCTTACACATGGTAAGGGCTTGTGCAAGTGTAAAATAAACTCTGTGGGTGCTGTTTACACGTGTCATGGCAAATGTAAATAACAGCTTTGTAAGCAAAGTGGTACTTATCTCAATTGTTCTTCAGATACATTTTCACAAGCAATCATCCCTCAGTCTGTGTAACAAATCACCCTCCTTATCCTTACAATATTTGTAAATAAAGCATTTCACATGGAGTTATTACTTTTTTTTTTTTTTGAGATAGGTCTGTCGCCCAGGCTCAAGCGAGCCTCTCGCCTCAGCCTCTCAAGTAGCTACAGGCACGTGCCACCATACCTGGCTAATTTTTTTTTTTTTTGCAGAGATAGGATCTCAGTATGTTGCCAAGGCTGGCCTAGAACTCCTGGGCTCAAGTGGTCCCCCCGCCTCAGTCTCCCAAAGTGATAGGATTATAGGCATGAGCCACTGTGCCTGGCCTGTTGTTTTTTGACAATGCTTTTCCTATAAATAGATTAATTGTCAATAATTCATGAGCTTCTCTCTCTCTCTCTCGTTCTTATTTTTATAAAAGTGTGACATGCACATGAATGAAAGAGGTAAATTGTTCCACAAGGCTTATTATTAAAAAAGAAAGAAGAAGAACAATCTCTTGCCTCTTTGCATTTCTCGAAAGTGATGGTTCCCGACTGGAGATTTTGCCCCCTGGGGAAATTTGGCACTGTCTGAAGACAGACTGTCATGACGTGGGGGACGGGGAGTGCTCCTGGTATACAGTGGGTAGAGTTCAGGGATGCTGCTAGAAGTTTTACCATGCACAGGACAGCCCTCCCAAGACAACGAATTCTCTGGCACCAAGTCACTAGAGCCAGCTTGCAAAGCCTGCCCCAAAGCATCAGAGGACACCAAGGCCTAGAAGAGTGGTGAGGAAAGTCACCTGCTCGGGTGACTGGTGAGTACATAGCAAACCCAGGATTCCAGCAGTGCTCCGAGGGCCCCTACTCTGAGTGAAGACAGAATGAAATGTTCCTTAGAGCCTGTTGGATCCGGTCCCATGCCGTGTGACATGAAGCATGTCCCTTAATGCCGGTGAACCTCAGTTTCCTCATTCATAAAATGGGTCTGAAAGTACTTCCCATCGTAGGGTTATTGTGAGGATGATGTGACGTGTGTAGTAAGTGCTTAGCACAGTTCTGGACACATATTATGCCCTAAATAAGAGGTTGCACTTTTATTTTCCTCAAAGTGTTGTAAGGATCCTGAGAAGGGAATGGTGGCATCCGATTTGAAGAATCTGGGAGGGCTTCTCAGGGGAGAAGGTGTTTGAACCTGGCTTTGAAAGTTGGCAATGATTTGGACAGGTAGGGATGGGGGAAGGTTACTGGGGTAGTAAGATGATTTAAGCAGAGGCCAAAAAGGGAGAGGAGGGAGTACAGAATGGGCTTTGGGCCACCAAGTTCAGCTGGAATGGGTGGGGTACCTGAAGTGAGCATCCAAGGAGATAGAGGAGGACTGCACTTTGATTCAGGACACCACGGCCTTGACCTCCCGCTCACACACCCCCCTCAGTCCTGCAAACCTGCTTACAGAGGCACAGGGCCCCCCGGCCACCGGGTCCTGCCCCGGGCTGGCAGACCAGGCCCTGGCTGGCGTCGCAGACGTGGAGTTGGTCGCAGGGCTCCCCCAGCCGTCGTGCACATACCCGGCAGCAGCCACAGCCATCCAGCACCAGGGCTACTCCCAGTGGGCATCGGGGAGGTGGCCAGGGGCAGGTACATGGTGTTGGGCACAGCTGGGTACACACCTGAAGAGACAGAGACCTCACTCAGCCACGGGCTTTCAAGGTGGGCAGTGAGACCCTCACAACCAGCCACCTCTGCCAGGCTGGGCAGTGTGGGGTCCACACCTTAGCCTCAGAGCCATGCAGACCTGGCCTCGAAGGCCAGTAGTCCCACAACATGCCCTAAGAGGCAGCATGGCATGTGGTTACGGGCAAGGACTCTGGGCTAGAGTTCCAGTTCTTTACTTTTTATTTTTATTTTTGGAGTCAATAGTCTTGCTCTGTCGCCCAGGCTGGAGTGCAGTAGCACAATCCCAGCCTCACTGCAACCTCCATCTCCTGGGTTCAAGCGACTCGTATGCCTCAGCCTCTCAAGTAGCTGGGACTACATGCACCCACCACCACGCCCAGCAATTTTTGTATTTTTAGTAAAGATCTGGTTTCACCATGTTACCCAGGCTAGTCTTGAAATCCTGAGCTCGGGCAATCCACCTGCCTCGGCCTCCCAAAGTGCTGGGATTACAGGCATGAGCCACTGCACCTGGCTGGACTTCCAGTTCTAATTCTGCCCCTTATTAGCTGAGTGACCTCGAGGACGTTACTTAAGCTCTCTGAGCCTCAGTTTCCTTGAAGTATCTAACTCAGAGGATTACTCTGAGGAGTACGTGAAATGTTGCACAGCAAACCCTCAGCACAGGGCCTGGCATGCAGTAGGCGCTCAGTGCACTTAGCTTTGATGATCATTGTTGTTAATGATGGCAGAGGGCTCAGCCTCTGCCTGCCCTCTGGGAGCTTACAGAAAGGCAAAAGTAACAAGTCAAGGATGAAAATGGCAGGGGCTGGTACATTTTCCAGCATATGGCTACTTATCTTAGGACGAATAAATCGAACTGTATCATGGATGTTTTTGGCCTTTTGATTCATCCAGCAAGCTTCCCAGCTCTGGCTGTGCACCAGATCAGCCAGGAGACTTGGGAAAATACAGACCCCCCAACCCACTCTGGGGCTTACAAAATCAGAAGTCCCTGACTCTGGGACCTGGAATCGTTATTTTTAACAAGCTGTCCAGCGGCTTCTGCAGCTCAGCTAGGTTTGCAGCACCTCTGACCCAGTCTAACCTCCTCCGCCTGCCAGGTACAGATGGGGAAACGGAGCTCCAGAGAGGGACAGGGACTTGCTACAAGTCAGTGTGTTCGATTCAGGGCTGGGAGCGTCCCAGGTCCTGCTTCCCAAGTGAGGACTCAGGGTCACGGGGTGGGGGTAGACTGTGTCCGTAAGCCAGGCACCCACTCCCCAGTGACAGGGTCAGGGTATCAGCCCATGTGACCTGCCTGCCCCTCACCACCCACATCAGAAAAACAACCGCAACATACAGCAAGGTGCCGTGGGCTCCCTGTCCGCCCATTTGAAGGTGGGAACCAAGAAGGATGCATAATTCAAGATGCTTCCAGTGGCCCCATCTGTGGGGGCCCAAGTTTGAGTTTAGTAGGATCCTTAGGGGATGAGGGTTTTATCTAGAGGAAGGGAGACTTGCAGTTTACATTGATGGGGCTAATGACCTTGTATCTCCTGTGCAGCCCCAAAGCAGGCAATGACCCCTTTGCCCTGCCTCACCCCCTGCCCCGCCCAGTGCCCACCCACCCACAATCCTGCAAACCTGCTTTCAGTTCCTGGCAACTCCCACACTGGCCACTAGGAGCCATTGCAAACTGGCTGACCAGCCTCTGGTGGGGGCCACAAAGTAGGAGGCGATCACGGCCCCCACTAAGACAGCACTGAGTAGCAGATGAACGCACAGAGCTAGGTGTCTGGCTGCCTCACAAGGGAGCGGGTCCCATCACTGCAGGCTGTTCAGATTAGAGAGACGATGGCCTGACCTCGCCCCTCAAGGTGTGATCTGAACTAGCAGCAGCAGCGCCACCTGGGAGCTTGTTAGACAGGCAGCATCTGGAGCCCCTCTATAAATCCAAAGCCGGATTTTTATATAACAAATCCGAATCTGCAGTTTCTTTTTTTTCTTTTCTTTTTTTTTTTTTTTTGAGATGGAATCTTGCTCTGTCACCCAGGCTGGAGTGCAGTGGCACGATCTTGGCTCACTGAAACCTTCGCCTCCCAGGTTCAAGCAATTCTTCTGCCTCAGCCTCCTGAGTAGCTGGGATTACAGGTGCGCGCCACCACGCCCGGCTAATTTTTTGTATTTTTAGTACAGACGGGGTTTCACCATGCTGGCCAGGCTGATCTCAAACTCCTGACCTCGTGATCCACCCACCTTGGCCTCTCAAAGCGCTGGGATTACAGGCATGAGCCACCGTGCCCGGCCTGAATCTGCATTTTCATAAATCCACAAGTGATTCACATAGAAACAGTCTGGGCTTTGGGGTTCCCTTCTAAGTCAGAGGTTCAGCTGCCTTGACTTGTGGGCAATGGTGGGAGGACTGTCAGGAGTGACCCTCAGGTCCCTCCCACCTGAAAACAGGAGTGCCAGGAAATAGACCAGCAGCTGTGCACCCAGGATCCCACTGTGGACCCCTCTACTGGCCATGTTTGTCAGGGGGCAGGACTCTGTAGGCCCCAATACCCAGGAGAAGCTATTAATGACATCAACTATTCTAGTGTACAATTATCCCATGTGATACCATATGTATGTCATGTGCCAAGTGCCATTGTCTCATTTACCCCTCCAATGTGAGGTGCCATCGTTACGCGCATTTTAAAGATGAGAAAACTGGAGCTCAAAGCATGTAGTAACACAGCCAGTAAGAGACAGAATCAGGATTGACATCCAAGTTCAGGTTGACATCCAAGGCCCAAACTCAAGTTGTCCCATTGTGCCTCAGTTTCCCCAGGGCCTTGCTGTGATATCTGGGGGTTGGGGAGGGGGCAAGGCTTATGATATCTGGGGCAGGAGCACTGGGCATGGAGTTTTTTGGGCAAGAGTTGACATTCAGATTCTGCCACTGACTTGCTACGTGACTGAACACGTGGACGAACGGCTTTGGAAGGTGGAGGTGAAGCTCAGTTTTCTCCTCTGTAAAGTGGAGTAGAGAACACCTGTTTATGAGTGATGGTGGAGATTAAATGAGGTCCTGGCCAGTCCTTGATCGATGTGGTTTTGCTTGTGTCCAGGTGTCTGCCTCCTGTCCCGGTCCACAGCCGGGAGCCCCGGAGCCAACGGTCAGCCTGGAAGACTCAGAGTTCTCCCTGTGAAGGTTGCTGTGGCTTTCCATGTCGTGGTGACTAAGTCCCTGTGTGTTTTCTGCAGTCCCTGCTTCCTAGGACCAGGGAAGAATGGCCCCGTAAGTCTCACCCTAATGGCAAGTCTAGGACAGCTTTACTTTGTTCTCTCATAATCCTGGACCCCTTCTCCCTCCTAGAGCCCCAAGTCCCCTATTCCAACTACCCAAGCCACCCACACTGGCATCATGTCCTACCCATCCCCTTTGGAAGAACAAACAGCGGGGCAGGATGCCAGTGTGGTTCTCAGCCTTCCCGGGCACCAAGACTTGGGGCCTGAGGGAGAGAAGCTCCTGCCCATGCTTCTCAAAGGAGCATGAAAATACAGTGAGATCGTGGCTTGTGGTGGGGCCGATTCCATGGTTCTGAGAACTCAGCATTTGCCGAGGGGATGACAAGGCTTAGCAGCTGTTGCCTTGGTCCAGTTTGGGCTTTGGGAGGCACAGACTGGAGTGCCTCTCCCCCTACATCCATGTCTGTTCTGGGCTCCGCCGTGGCCCTTCTCCATTGCTCTGACCTTTCTTTGCTGTGTGACTTTAAGCAAGTTGCTTACCCTTTCTGAGCCTCACTTAACTGAAAATTCCTTATGGGGTTGTTGTGCATGTTAGACAAGGTAGATGTCCCACAAGCTCTTTGGTGAATGTCCCATGCAGCATTCGGGGAGAAGGTCATTACTCCACAGAGGTGTCTCCTGTCCCCCTCTAGCTAGGGCGGGCGGGTCACTCACTGCCTAAGAGTCCAACGGCATTGATGCCCTTGCAGAGTAAACCTTCCAATCAGCTAGGTATCCATCCAAATGCTGGCTCAGAGTCAGGCCAAGCATGTCATGTCTTCAGTACCCCCATTCATAATGAGGGTACATTAAAATCCTCCTTAATTTGCCGGTAAGTTTGATGAATGATCTTGAATGGCCTTCACAAAGGCCTCACAAACTGTATACCCTTCACCTGGGAAGATGCTGAGGCCCAGAGAAGGCCAGGCATGTGTCTGAGGTCACAGAGCAGGGCTGGCCGGAGGCAGCTCTGAGTGCCAGGGAGAGAAGCCCTGCTTAGGCATGGTGGCCAGACTGTGCCCAATGTGGGGCCCTGGAGGAATTCTGCCAAGGGGGTCCTTGGCTGTGATTTTTACATCCCCATCCCCTCCACACCCAAGTAGTCAGCAGTGCATTCAAGGGCCCGGGCCTCCTTACCTTTGAGAGGAGGCAGAGGAGGGAGAAGGCCAGAAGGTGGGTCTTCAGTGTGCCTCTCATGTCCCCCGCAGAGCCAGCTTTGAGCCTGGGAGGCGGACCTGTGAGTCTTTATGTTCCGGCAGCTGTGAGGTCACTCCCAGGCACACACAGGCACACGCGCACACACACACACACACACACACACACACTAGCTTTTTCATTCCTTGCTTTGCTTCCCATCCACATGGCCCAAAGGATGAGCCCATTTACCTGAAGGTGAAACTGTGAAGGCCACCAAGGGGGTGCCTGTCTGTGTGCGTGTGTGTGTGTGTGCGTGCGTGTGTGTGGGTGAAAGCCCGAGCCAGTGCCAGCACCAAGAGCCTGTGACAGCTTGCAGGGGCCTTCCTATCTCCTCCCAGCCCAAGAGGGTCCTAGCCCTGCTGTAGTTGCGAAGCCCTATCCCAGACCCCTGTCCGAACCCCAGTGGTGCTGCAGATACCGGAAGCATTCCGTAAACACCCCCTTTGCAGAGCTGACCCAAGGTCTCCTAAGCTCCGTGGCCCTGACTCTGGGTAGCCGCGGCCCAGCCTGCGGTTTCTGGCAGGCAGATTGGCAGCCACCCAGAGGCGGGTGTGACCCAGAGCAAAACTTCCCTCGGCGGCCTGTTTGCTCTTGGCAATAAGGGACCTCCCTTGGCCTGCCTCCCAGCTCTGGAAGGGGGCCCGTGGTGGGCGAGTCCGGGCAGGCTGGACCTACTGTGTGCCGGTGCTTGCTGGGCACTGCTAGATGATGGGGTCGAGCCAAATCCATTTGGTTTCATTCAGCCACCTCTGAAGTCACCTCTGCAGGAGCTGAAGGCATAACACTGACCTGAGGACAAGGCCCAGAGAGGGAGAAAACAGAGGGAAAGCAGGTGGAAGTTCAGGAATACCAGGCAAGGTCCCTTGCTCAGACCAAGAGTATGGGACGCTTTCTGATGGAGGTGCCATTTCAGAAAGCCAAGAAAAGAGAGGGTGAGAGAGGGCAGAATGTTCCAGGCCAAGGGAACAGCACGTACCAACGCCTAGATGTCGGACATAGCATGATAGCCTGCTTATTCTGGGAGCCAAAGTGCCTGGTATGAGCAGAGCCTTCTGTGCAATGGGAAATGGTGATGTCTGTGAAAGGTGAGACATACAAGTTCACACCACCGAGATTTGGGGACATCAACGATGTCCCAGCCATGAGGGCAGGGGATGAAAAGACATGGGCTTTGTTTGTAGAATTTGGCAAAGATAAAAGAGGTGATGTCAAGGGCTGTCTGGGCCCCCGTTACCTCCACCAGTAGTAGTCCAAACCTCAAAGTGATCTAGCTGGACAGCAGAGGTTCCAGAATGGGTGATCGGTGAGGAAGAAGTGTGACTTGATATAGTGGCAAGACGGGGATTGTGAGCGTGGAGGCGATTCCCTCCACGGCTGCTGTCCTATTAGAAGAGGCAATAGAAACAGAAGTTGAAGATGAAAATGTGGGATTTGATTATTTATGGCAGGAAGAGGTGGCCAGGGTGGAGATGGGGGTCCAGAAACTTGGAGGAAAAGAAACAGAAGAGGTCTTTCTTATTTTGTTTTATTTTGGGATTCTTGTGGAAATGCGGATGTTTTAGTCAGAAGCATGCCTAGAGTACTTTACATCCACAGTAGATCATTTTTAACACCCCTCTTCCTTCATACTACAAAATTATTTTCAGTAATAATCATGAAATGAAACAAATATTTTTTATGTATGAATTAAAATTTGTACTTACCAAACAAAATAATTACCATTCACAGTTCACACTGTTTTACTCCTTTAAAAACTGTAATACAAATCAAAACTCCAAGTAGTTTCGTAAAATGACAAAATTGAAATACTCTTATTGTCATCTTTACCATCTCTCTGCGCTCATTGTTGATTTCACTCTACTGTTTAAATGCAAAAATACAGCCAGGCCAGTGGCTCACGTCTGTAATTTGGGAGGCCAAAGTGGGAGAAACACCTGAGGTCAGGAGTTCAAGACCAGCCTGGCCAACATGGTGAAACCCATCCCTACTAAAAAAATACAAAAATTAGTCAGATGTGGTGGGTGCACACCTATAGTCCCAGGTACTCGGGAGGCTGAGGCAGGAGAATTGCTTGAACCCAGGAGGTGGAGGTGGCAGTGAACCGACATCTTGCTACTGCACTCCAGCCTGGGCGACAGAGAGAGACTCTGTCACACACACAAAATAATAATAAAAATAAATGCAGAAATATCAATGCTGGACGGCGGAGACAGGAATGCATTCAAAGCAAGCTTGGAAGATTCTAGAGTTGCGAGGAGCTTACTCTCAACTCATGTGTGTTCCTGAGACCACATGCGCTGGGGGCAACTATATTTCTTAAAGTTCTCCAAGTTGACTTCCATGTAGAATATGTTTATTAAAGGATAAGAATGAAAATGTGCTGATTTGAAGCTTACATATGCATTATTAAACTCTAACAGTTACTGTACCAGTTGTTAGAACTTAGATGAATAAAGGATATTTTCAGGACAAAGTATTTTACCACTGAAATTATTTAGACCTGCCATTGCACAGTGACCATAAAAGCAGACTGACTTCTCATCAGTTTTATTTTATCTTTAAATTCTGTAGGCCCCCCACCCCTTATTGCCTGCACCCAGAGAAGGTCAGTCCTACCTTCCTGTCCTCCTTAGGCCACTGATATTAATAACAATAAAAGCGATTGTGCATAGCACCCAGAAAGATCCAGCCCTTGTGCTAAGTACTGTTTATAAAAAGCAGCATTTCTAATGCTCACAATCCACATCTCAATTTTAAAAAGTGAGGTTCAGAGAGGTTAAGTAACTTGCCTAAAGCTACACAGCTAGAAAACAGAGCCAGGTTTTCAGTGCAGGTCCACATGACTCCAATGCCTAAGTTTCGGTTTTTGCTGCTGTTGTTTATTTCTGCTACTGCCCATAGAGCTCTCTGTGATATGTTTTTTTAAGTTGAGGGGTAATGTATATACAGAAAAGTGCTTAAACTGCACTAATATTAATTATAGAACTTGACAACTCTTTTTTTTTTTTTTTTTTTTTTGAGACAGTGTCTGGCTCTGTCTCCCAGGCTAGAGTGCAATGGCATGAACATAGCGCACTGCAGCCTCAGCCTCCTGGGTTCAAGGGATCCTCCCTCTTCAACCTTCTGAGTAGCTGGTGGCATGAGGCAGCATGTCTGGCTAATTTTGACTCTTGACATATCTATGTACATGACTATGTATATACCCATGTGATCATCACCCAGGTCAAGCTACACTTCCAGAAGGTTCCTTATGCCCCTTCCAAGACTCTACCCTCTGTTCCCCAGGTACCCACTATTCTGACCTCTGTGGCCACAGATTAGTTGTTCCTGAGAGGAACAGTTTTAAGCCACCTCTCTCTCTGAGGCAAGAAGGAAGACGGGAGAAATGAGGAGGTGTGAGGAAGAGAGTTGGAGGGAGACACGCTGGTCTGACATGTCCATCGCAGAGGAAGGAGACCCAGATGATGAGGAGGTGCAGCAGGGCATGGGTGTCGCAGATGGTGAAAAGGGCAGGGCTCCACGGGGCAGGGAGGTGGCAAGAACGGGGCAGAATGCTATGCCCACCTAGAGCCCTCTGAATCAGAGCATGGATTTTTCTTGGAATTTTTTCTCTCTGATAACTGAGGATAGGAAAGTGTGGGCAGTAGGGGCCCTGGGCCATGGCCAGATCAGGAAGCAGGCGTCATTTTCAAGGGTGTTTGGTGATGAAGTGTGAGGGATGGAGCTTGCACACACAGTTCAGCATGAGTGGGTGCGGCAGGAGCGGTGGGTGTGGCAGGAGTGGTGGGTGTGGCAGGAGCGGTGGGTGTACAGGAGCGGCAGGAGTGGCAGGAGCAGTGGGTGTGGTAGGAGCGGTGGGTGTGGCAGGAGCGGTGGGAGCTGCCACTTTGCTGATTGGTTTGCTGCGGTTCCGCCCTCCCTCCAAACTGTCCAGCTTTGGCACCAGAGGGATATGGGCGTCCAGGGAACCCAGGAGTCTTTTGGCTGCAGCCGCAGCCCCCACACAAGGGCCCAGGGTGAGTGTGGCTGCCCTTTGCTTTCCCAGGAGGAAACACAAGCTCAGAAGTCAACAGGTTCAAGCTTCAAATCCCTTCTCCCCACATCGACTTACAGGGCTGGGACCAGGGTGAGGTGACAGAGGCATGTCAGGTGCAACATTTAGGGAGACTCTCATTCTCAGCAGTTGACCTTGCACTTCCACAACCCCAAGAGTGAGCGCCTCGTTCAGAGTGAGGCACCCAGGTCACACAGGAGTTCGTAGTAGGAACTCCGTCAATGTTGGTTGATGGCTAAATGGTGATTTTGTAAGACTGTGCTGAGATCACAAACTAATGCCCACATCTCAGTGGCTTAACCCAGTGAAGCTTATTTCTTGCTCGTGAATAGTCCAAAGTGGGCCAGGCACATCCTGTAGCTCCTCCCTACTCAAGCGTGTGGTCCAAGGACTGATGGCATCAGCATCAGCTGGTTGCATGTTGGAAATGCAGACTCCCAGGCCCCACTATCAGAATCTTCATTTTAATAAGACCCCCAGGTGATTTGCATGCACATTACAGTTTGTGAATCCCTGTTCTGGACCAGTGGCCTCCAAGGTCACCTTGGCAGGAAAAAAGAGGGATAGAGAAGCCACATCATCAGTTCTACTCACATCTCATTAGCCAGAGCTAGCCACATGGCCCCAACTGCAAGGGAGGCGGGGAAATACCATCATCCTGTGTGTATCTATGAAGGAGAACCAGAGTGAGGGACAGCTAGGTAATATTCTTTGCTGCAGGTACCTTGGCATCTGGGACACACCCTTTTGCTTCTCTGGGTCTCAGTTTCTCCATCTGTTCAAAAAAATAAAAATAAAAGTGGCCTACATGTTCTTCCAGGCCTGAGCCAGAATGAACATTTTTAGCGGCTAAGAAACGCATCTGGCCGGGCACGGTGGCTCACACCTGTCATCCCAGCACTTTGGGAGGCCAGGCAGGTGGATCACTTGAGGTCAAGAGTTTGTGCCCAGCCGGGCCAACATGGCAAAACCCCATCTCTACTAAAAATACAAAAATTAGCTAGGCGTGGTGGCCTGTGTCTGTAATTTCAGCTACTCAGGAGGCTGAGGCAGGAGAATTGCTTGAAACCCGGTGGCGGAGAATACAGTGAGCCGAGATCGCACCACTGCACTCCAGCCTGGGCCACAGAGCAAGACTCCATCTCAAAAAAATAAGAAAAAATGCACCTGAAAAGTGAAACTTATGAAACATCACCATCAAGGCACAGCATATGGAAGCCACGAGTAAATATCTGCAGTTGAAAGGGTGAAGCCAGTCTCAGCCCTTTGCAGTTTGTCAGCTCCCAAGGTGTGTGCCCACCTTCCCACTTACAGCCTCTACCCCATGCCAAGTCCCAAGCTGACGCTGGGGAGGTGGAGCTCACAGGTGTGACATTAGGTAGGAGGGACAGAGAAAGCCAAAACAGATCCTGACCCCAGCAGGGCTGGAAGTGAGGAGGGGCAGTGCTCCAG